ATGATTTCACTCATATGTGGATTAAGAAACAAAACAAAGGATCAAAAAGGGGAAAAGAGAGAGAGGCAAACCAAGAAACAAACTCTTATTTATAGAGAAGGCACTGATGGTCAGCAGAGGGGAGGTGGGTGGGGGGATGGGTGAACTAGGGGATGGGGATGAAGGAGGGCACTTGTGATGAGCACCAGGTCATGTATGGAAGTGTTGAATCACTATATTGTACACCTGAAACTAATATAACAGTCTGTTAACTAACTGGAATTAAAATGAAAACCTAAAATAAATACTGCTATTTATAAGAAAGAAAGAGGTAAGTGTATACTACCCAGTGTCTGAGGATAGGTTTTCTTTTATACAAGCTACAGTCTAAGACCACTTCCAAGATCTGTTTTGTCATCAGCAAAGGTGGGACGGTCTTAAGCTAGTCAGGTAAGGAAAATGATACCTTGTGATCTCAGCAAAGTAGGGGATGGTGGATCTGGTTTTTCTAAGTTAGGAAAAAATTTTAAAAGATTAATTAGACTTCCAGGTTGATGAAGACAATGGTAGCTGTCTTGGTTTGTGTCTTTCAATATAAATAACAAAAATTCTAAATGGCACTAAAACCACGGGGGGAAGCATAACTTAAAGCAGAAAAATCCCCAAACATCAATATAACTATAAGTTTTTAAAAAATACCAAATTCCAGGAAGTACTCTGTCACATTCATGCTGCACCACAAACTTCTGTAATGAGCAATGCAGGCTGATAAAAACTGTAGGAAATAAGGAAGTTAGTCATGGGCCTAGGGTTAATCTAAAATCATTGAAAGAAAGAGTAAGTCTAACTCAAGTATAAAAATATGTTTTAAAATGTCCTGGTAGGCCAGAACACAGAGTAAAAGGAATCTGGAGTAGCAGTCCTCAAAAAGTATGGCTTCTAGGGAAAAAATACAAGACATAAAAAGAAGTGAGAAGTAACTTTTGGTAAATCTATAGAGTTAGTACCAAAAAAAATCAGAAAACAAGATCCAACATACCTCAACTGATAAACATCTCCTTACAGAGAACAACTATGAAGCAGAAAAAAAACCTGTAAGACAACATTCCAAACTGAATTTAAAAACATGCAGACAAATATTTGGGGATATGAAAAAAATCACCTGGATTCAGACTTTCAAAATAAATCAAGAAAAAAACGAGAAAATTGATCAAACTAGAAAATAAATGGAAGAAAGAGACAAAATTATCTCAGAAGTGAAGATAAATTACAAGGTTGCAAAGAGAAAATAGACTCAAGAGAATTTAATAAGGTGCATTGAAAAAGGCAGAAAAAATAACTGAGAGAATGAAAATAAAACCAAGAAGAAAGTAAAAAGGATCCGAAAGAAATTGGTGAATTGAAAGAGAAGCAAAGGAATAGCAATGTGTAATTGGAATTACTGGGGAAGAAAAACAAAACAATGTAACAGAGCTAATATTTAAAAGATTTAAACCTATAATCGAAGAAAAATTTCCAAAGTGAAAGACTTTAGTCTACACATTGAAAGGTCCCACTAGGTTTCTGGGGAAATAAACCAAAATGATCAACTCCAAGACATATCCTAGTAAAATTATTAGACATGAAAGATAAGATATATCCTCTAAGCCTCTAGGCAAAATGATGAAATAATCCATGAAGTCAAATTAATTAAACTGAATCAGGCTTTTCAAAAGCAACATATAAGGCAAGGCAATGAAGCAGCATTTTCAAGAAATGCTTTTTCTTTTTCAAAGAAAAAAGTGTGAACCAAGGATTTCACATCCAATGAAGCTAGTTTCAAATATCAAGGTTATAGAAAAAGAAAAAAATTTTAAACAAATCAGAACCTGAAAAATTCTGTGCCAAACAACTTTAAAGAGGTATAAGTACAATCATTATGCAAACATTACTGTTGGGGGAAGCTATGTTATGGGTAAAAGTATAATTATATAAAAATTAAAAGTTTCCAAAAAGTTTAACTACAGTTTCTGCTCCCAGATGGTGACATAGGAACACCCTGAATTCACCCTCTTCTGCAGAACACACCAAATGATATGTATTTATAGAGCAACTCCTCCTGAAGAAGAACTGATAGCTGATTGAACAGCGTCAGCACAACAAAAGATAGAGAGACCACACAGAGAACAGCAGGAGACAGGGAGACAAAGTAACAAAGGGAACCCCCACCCCTGACACTGTGAACTGCAGTGGGGAGAGAGTATTGAGAGACCAGGAGTAGATTTGTCTGCCCTGGGAAACAGAAAAAAAAGCCATGGTTTAAAAGGGCAACTAGAATATAAAGGAACCAGCCCTAGAACTCCACCAAATGGTGAGGGAGCTGCTGGAACTTTCTCTGAGTTGTAGGGGTTGGTGAGCTCCACAGCTTACATTCCCCTCCACCTTAAAAGCACAGACCAGTGCACAGTCTGGGCGCCCTAACTGGTCTGCTGCCTCAGTGAGCCCCTAGCCCCCAGCCCACACCAGCCCCAGCCATCCACAAAAGCAACCCCAGAACACCCTGGGTCAGTACTCACCAAGGCAACACAGGCACAAAGCACCCTGTGCAGAGGGAAAAGCAGACTGCCCAGTGAGCAAGGAGCTTGACCTGGGGCTTAATCCCAGGACCCTGGGATCATGACCTGAGCCAAAGGCAGACAGACGCTTAACTGACTGAGCCACCCAGGCGCCCCAAGATAATAGAATTTTTTAAAATGATGATAAGTTAAGGGATCTTAACTCAGACAACATCAAGCAAACAAACATTCACATTATAGGGATCTACTCCTAACTAGTAGAAGCATGAGAAGCATATCAAACAAATCCCAAATGAGAGTCTACTAAATCTCTGACCAGTATTCCTCAAAGGTCTCTAGTTATCAAAAACCAAGAAACTTTGAGAAACAGTCACAGACCAGAGGAGGCTAAGGAGACATGATGACAAAATGTAATGTGGCATCCTAGATGGGATACTGGAAAAGAAAAAGGACATTAGGGAAAATTAGTGAAATTTTAATAAAGCGTGGAATTTAGTTATTAGTGATGTACCAATGTTGTTTCCTTAGTTTTTATTTTAATTCCAGTATAACTAACATACAGTGTTATATTAGCTTCAGATTACAATATAATGATTCAAAAATTCTATACATTACTCAGTGCTTGCCAAGATAAGTGTACTCTTAATTCCCTTCACTTGTTTCAACCATTCCCCCACCCACCTTCCCTCTGGCAAACACAAGTTTGTTCTCTGTAGTTAAGTCTGGTTTTTTGTCTCTTTCTTTCTTTGTTTTGTTTCTTAAATTCCACACATGAGTGGAATCATATGGTATTTGTCTTTCTCTGACTGACTTATTTCACTTAGCATTATACTCTCTAGATCCATCCATGTCATTGTAAATGGCAAGATCTCATCCTTTATTATGGCTGAGTAATATTCCATTGCATATATATTTATATACATACACACACATACCACCTGTTCTTTATCCATTCCTCTATCGATGGACACTTGGGTCATTTCCATATCTTGGCTGTTGTAAATAGTGCCGCAATAAACATGGGGGTGCATATAACTTTTCAAATTAGCGTTTTCATTTTCTTTGGGTAAATACCCAGTAGTGAATTACTGGATCATATTGTAGTTCTATTTTTAATTTTTTGAGAAACCTCCATACCGTTTTTCACAGAAGCTACACCACTTTGCATTCCCACCAACATTGCACAAGTGTTTCTTTTTCTCCATATTCTTGCCAACACTTCTTATTTCTTGTGTTTTTAATTTCAGCCATTCTGAAAGAACCACCAAAGACCCTAAATAGCCAAATCAACCTTGAAAAAGAAAAGCAAAGGTGGAGGCATCCCAATTCTGGACTTCAAGTTATATTACAAAGCTTTAGTGATCAAAACATTATGGTATTGGCAGAAAAATAGACACACAGATCAATAGAACAGAATAGAAAACCCAGAAATGAACGCACAACTATATGGTCAACATTCAACAAAGCAGGAAAAAATATCCAATGGGAAAAAGACAGTCTCTTCAACAAATGGTGTTAGGAAAACTGGATAGAAACATGCAAAAGAATGAAACTGGGCCACTTTCTTATACCATACATAAAAAGAAATTAAAATGGATTAAAGGCCTAAATGTGAGACCTGAAACCATCAAAATCCTAGAGGAGAACACAGGCAGTAACCTCTTTGACATCAGCCATAGCAACTTCTTTCTAGATATGTTTCCTGAGGCAAGGAAAACAAAAGCAAAAATGAACTATTGGGACTTCATCAAGATAAAAAGCTTCTGCATGGCAAAGGAAACAATCAACAAAACGAAAAGGCAACCCTCAGAACGGGAAAAGATATTTGCAAATGACATGTCTGATAAAGGGTTAGTATCCAAAATATATAAAGAACTTATAAAACTGAATACCAAAAAAACAAATAATCCAGTTTAAAAATGGGCAGAAGACATGAACAGACACAAGGAATAGAGGAATAAGAAATCCCATAAGATATATAGAAAAGGAAAAATTAAATTAAATGACACATGCAAATCCAAGTATATAAATGATTACAATAACAAAATCTAATAAAAAAGCAAAGATTGTGAGAGTGGATTTTTAAAAATGATACAACTATATATACAGTAGAAATGCTTAATAACCCACAATACAAACTGAAAGTAAAAAAAATATGGCAAAAGATGTATCACACAAACAACAACTGCAAAAAAGCTGAAATGTTTATGCTAGTGTCACACAAAATAGATTTCCAAACAGGAATATTTCATAATGATAAAAGTGTCAATCCATCATGAAGTATAAATAAATAAATAAATAAATATAAATAAAAATCTATTGTATTTTGGGGGAGGGAGGAGAAGGAGCCAATGCAATGGTTAGTCTTTAGTGGAAGGAAGACACTTCACAGCACATTTTGAGTAAGTTAGTACAAAGGCTCAGTGGGCCAACTGGTGGGGCACCAGCTTGTAATGGGTTCCACAGCTAGGGCATCACTGGATCTCACCTTTGTGCAGCCAGAAACAGATGAAGGCACTATTGTCCTCTTCAAAGATGCAGCCCACTATTTGCTTGTTGGTGATAGATGGGACTAAATTAGGGTCTTCTTTGGTGCCTGAAGTTGCCTGTGGGGCTAGCATATTTATGGGTCTAGCCCCTTCCATGCAGTCATCATGACCTCCCTCTCCAGCCCAGCTGCCTGCTCGTCTCAGTAGGAACACCACCTGCAGATGCCATGAAGTGCACCATGGTGACTCCACTGGGACCGTGGGCCCTGAGGTCCTGCATGGCCAGCACTCCAATTCCACGAAGTAACCTAGAAGCCATCACATCCACCACAAACAGCCTCTGTTGTATTTTTATACACTTGCAATGAACAATCTGAAAATAAAATTAAAAAAACAACTCCATTCACAATAGCATCAAAAAAAATAAAATACTTAGAAATAACTTAACAAAAGAAGTGTAAGACTTGTAAACTGAAAACTAAGAAACATTGTTAAAAGAAATTTTAAAAGACCTACATATATGGAAAAACATCCTATGTTCAAGCATTAGGAGACTTAATTTAATTTTATTTTATTTTATTAAGATGAATATACTCCTCAAATTGATCTATAAATTTAATAAAATCTCAATCAATCCCAGCTGCCTTATTTGCAGAAATTGACAAGCTCATCTTAAAATTCATATGGAATTAAAAGAGGCCCCAAATAACCAAAACAATCTTGGAAAAGAACACAGGAGGAGGACTCACACTTCCTGATTTCAAAACTTACTACAAAGCTACAATAATCAAGACAATGTGTTACTGGCATAAGACTAGACATACAAACCAATGGAATAAAACTGAGAGTCCAGAAATAAACCCATAGTCTATGGTCAATTGATTTTCAAACAAGAGTGCCAAAATCATTCAATGGGGAAAGAATATCCTCTCCCAACAAATGGTGCTTGGACAACTAGATATCCATACATAAAAGAATTAAGCTGGATCCCTACCTCTAGCATATTTAAAAATTAACTCGAGGGGCGCCTGGGTGGCTCAGTCGGTTGGGCGACTGCCTTCGGCTCAGGTCATGATCCTGGAGTCCCTGGATCGAGTCCCGCATTGGGCTCCCTGCTCAGCGGGGAGTCTGCTTCTCCCTCTGATCCTCCCCCTCTCATGCTCTCTGTCTCTCATTCTCTCTCAAATAAATAAATAAAATCTTTAAAAAAAAAAATTAACTCGAAATAGAGCATAGACCTAAATGTATGAGTTAAAACTACAAAAATCTTAGAAGAAAGCCTAGGAGTGAATCTTCATGACGTTGGATTTGGCAAAGTACTCTTAGACATGACACCAGAAGCATGAGCAACAAAAGGGAAAAAAAGATAAGTTCTATTTCAGCAAAATTTAAAACTCTGTGCTTCAAAAGACACCTTCAAGAAAGTGCAAAAAGGGTACACAGAGTTCAGAGTACGAAGTTTCTGCGGGCTACATGGGTAGGAATTGGCTGGTTGTATTTAGAGGGACTATCAATGGACACCCAAAAGGACATTCAACCCCCAAAGCGGCAGCCAATGATACATATCTGCAGAGAATGTCACCCAGAAAATGAAATAAAATCCAGGGATCCGATCAGATGCAGAGAATGTGGATACAGAATAATGTACAAGAAAAGGACTAAAAGATTGGTGGGTTTTGATGCTCAATGAAACATGGAATTCAGAGGATTATCTTCATTTGTACTTGGATTTGCTGTTAATGTTGTATAGCTTTTGATCAGTGTACATACCTTTACAAATACAAATAACATTTCATTTTAAAATCCATCTTGTAAAAAAATAAATAAAAAAATAAAATCCATCTTGTATTTAGATATCTATTTAATAGTTTCTATAAAGAAAAGTTTTTTGTTCAATTACATGATTTATAATTTACTTTTATTGTATATGTAATCTGACACAGAGTGAAACTTTCAAGTGCTTCCCTAAACCACTCTTTTAATTAAGGCCTAGAATCTTTTGGGATTCTTGTTAAAAATGAAGTTTTCTAGGGCCCTGTGAAGGTCTGAGTAAGTAAGTTCCTTGGGAACTACTGTTTTACATCACCAACTTTGTAAACTCTCCAGCATCATTTTGTATTGAGTATACCAATGTACTTAGCATGCATGCATTATTTTGAGTTAAATTTTTCATTTAAAAAAAAAGGGTACACAGAGTGGGAGAAATACTTACAAATCATATATGTGATAAAGGACTTGTACCTAGAATATATAAAGAATTCTTATAACTCAATAATAAAAAGACAAATAACCGAGTTTAAAAGTGGGGAAAGGATCTGAGTCTACATTTCTTCAAGGAAGATACACAAGTGGCCAATAAGAATGTAAAAATATGCACATTGTCATTAGTCTTCAGGGAAATGCAAATCAAAACCACAATGAGCTATACCGCTTCACACCCACTAGGATGTCTAGAGTCAAAAAGTCAGAAAATAACAAGTGTTGGAGAAGAAACAGAGCAATAAGAACCCTCATACATTGCAGCCACTATGGAAAACAGTCTGGCATTACCTCAAAGCATTCAACATTCAGTCACCACTGAACTCAGAAATTCCACTCCTAGGTTCAAAGCCAAAAGAGTTCAAACATGTGTTCAGACAGACATTTGGAAACAAATGATCAGAGCAGCATTATTTATAATAGCCAAACGGTAGAAACAACCCAAATGTCCATCAATAGATAAATGGATTACCAAAATGGTACGTCCACACAGTGGAATATTACTCAGTCATAAAAATGAATGTGGATGAACCTTTAAAACATTATAGTAAGTGAAAAAAGCCAGTTATAAAGCCAGAAAAATTTTCTATGAAAAGAAGCCACATATTGTATAATTCCCTTTGTATGAGATGTCCCAAATAAGGAAATCTATAGAGACAGAAAGTAGATTAGTGGTTGCCTAGGGCTAGGAGGGAAGGATGATAGAGGGGGGATGGGCTAAAAGGTAGGGGTCCGTTTTGGGGATGATGAAAATATTTTAAAATCGACTGTGGTGAGGATTGCACAACTCTGTGACTATACTAAAAACCATTGAATTGTACACTTCAAATGAGCAAATAGTATGGTATGTGAATTATATATCAATAAAACTGTTTTTTAATTTAGTAAGGCAATGATAAGGGATTATATTTTTTAAAAAAAAAGAACAAAGGATTCGGAGAGGCCATTCCCGGAAGAGGAAACACAAATGGTCAATGCACAAGAAATGGTATTGACCTCATTAGTAGTCAGGGAAATGTAAAACAAAGCAATGAGCACGTTTTTATTTAACTACATCAGACTGGCAAGAATTCAGAAAGACTATAACATGATGCTTGAAAAAAATGTGAAGAAATGGCCTTTTCACATATTGCTAAGTAGAATTTACATTGCTAAGTATTTTTACAATGTATAATGCCCAAATCCATTACATTTAAAATGTTCATACTCTTTGACTTCCCGGTCCGTTTTGAAAGACTCTATCTCACACAAATAACATATGTGTGACTATACTTAGAATCATTATTGCAGCATTGTCATGGTAAAAGGAAAATGAGTTGGAAATGGAGGATGTCTATGATTCTTTATTAATTGCAAAAAACAAATGCCAGAATAATGGTCCAATTTGATCCAATCTTTGTAAAAATCAAACAGCAATAAATTTTTATGTGTATATATATTTGCATGGCAATACACATGAAAGAATATATCCCAAGTTGTTAATATCTTGGGGATGGAGGGGTCAGATAATTATGGATCTACCTTTTTGTGTACATTTTGGATTGTTTTGCTAGTTTTAATGAAAAGGTATTACTTTTGCTATTTGGAGATAGAGAAAAAAAATTAAGAAGAGGCGGTGGGTGGAGGAATGAGAAAGGAAAGGAAGGCGCATTATTTTTTTTCCGCGGCTGTTTCTGTGTGCGCTCCTTTTACAGACAGTGTGGCAGCCCCGGGCGTCGCGTCTACGCGCGGGATTACAGTAACTCGGTTGTCAGTGATGAGTCAGAGTGCGTGGTGCTGATGCTGCTGCCATTTCATCACCTCTGCGAGCGCAGCATCCATTCCTTCGCTCTCCCTGCGCCTGGGCCTACCTCGCCTCAGGCTCCCAGGCCAGCGATGTGCTCGCTGCCGATCTAGATCCGGACCAAGCCACGCTCTCCGAGGCCTCGGCTGGGCGCCCCTCTCGCCGCCCACGGCCGGCCCGGGCCAAGGAGACCTGCTGATCCCCGGCCATGGAGGCCATCTGGCTATACCAGTTCCGGCTCATTGTCATCGGGGATTCCACGGTGGGCAAGTCCTGTCTGATCCGCCGCTTCACCGAAGGCCGCTTTGCCCAGGTTTCGGACCCCACTGTGGGAGTGGATTTTTTCTCCCGTCTGGTGGAGATCGAGCCAGGAAAACGCATCAAGCTCCAGATCTGGGATACCGCGGGTCAAGAAAGGTTCAGGTGGGAGCGCAGCCGGGGCCGCGAGCAGTGGGAGGGTCTTCGCGGCTTGAACAACCCCTGGGGAAAGAGGACTTCCTGGTCCTGGTCGCGGCCCCATAGGGACGATACCAAGGGTCTGGGGATTTCTGCTCAAGCCCACCTTCAGCTAGCCGGGAGTTCAGTGCAGGGTAAGAAGCACCCTGGCAGGGAGGCCAGTCGATAATACGTATTGCTTGCACAATTCCACCAATCTGCCCCTTGGTGGCTAATAAACTAGCTGGAATTGATCACGGTAATTATCAATCTCAGTCCTTATGCTATATTACTTTCAAAAACGTTTCCAGGTCATCCTAACTTAACTGACAGGTATAGACAGATGATATACAGAGATAGCTACTTATAGACATAGATACAGATATAGATATATAGAGATACACATAACTATATGAAATAGATACTGATGATTGATTCCTTCTTGCAACCAGCACACATTCAGAGATCATCCACTGCATGCCAGGCGCTGGGCTTGTTTCTGGGGAAACAGCCCGACGAAACACACAAGAGGATGCCTTGTAAACAAAACAGACACAGGCCCTTCCCTCTTAGAACTTCTGTGCTGGCATAGTGGGAGGAAATACATAATCAGCAATTATACAAAAGAGTGTCTTGTTCATATTTGTATGCCCACTCCCTACTATAACGCTCAGCATATAATGAGTAACCAATGAACAGGCTTAATTTTCTCCTACAACCCTTTGTCTTTCCTTTGTAGTATGCATCATGTGTAATTATATGTCTGAACACAGAAAAGGCTACCTGGAGAAGATGACTACCCAAGCAAAGACAGGAAAAGCCCAGGGACAGAAAGCAGCACGTATTAAGACAAGTGAGAGAGAGCAGTGTACACAGAAAACTTTGAGAGAACAATTTGAGCTAAAGTCACATAAGGCAGCAGGAACTAGATCAAAAGGACTCAATAGCCTTTATTCATTTTCAAATACGTTTATGATTATTTATTCATTTATTGAACACTAATTGAGCATAGAAAATACTGGTTAGGTAGTCAAAGAAGAGTAGAGAGAAGAGTTTACTACAAACTTGTCTCCACCCCACCCCACCCCCAACTTCCACAAACAACACTTGTGACAAATATCCTTGTACAGGTTCACTTTGAATTGATTACATTTCTCATATTAGAAGTGAAAAAAGGTGTCTTTTATATGTTTACTGGAATCTCTTTCTGTATGAAAAGCCTTTTCATATCTACCGCTTATTATTTATTCGGTGATATTGATTTGAAAGTTTTTTATAGATTATTATCCTTTTCTGTCATATATGTTATAAAATATTCTCCTGGTTTGTCATTTGTCTTTGAACTTTAAGAAAATTTTTTGATGAATGGAAGTTTTAATTTTTATGTAGCCCTATATTGTGTTTAGAAAGGGCTTTGTTACTTTCTAAATACTCACAAACCATTAATATAATAATGTCTTTTAGAGTTTTGACAGGGATCTACAGCTTGCTCACCAATTTCCTGAACCAAGTTGTTCACGAATCAAAACCTTTGTTCGTGTTGAATTTTCTGATTACACCTACCATTCTCCATGAACCTTTAAACATAAGAGAATTAGAAATGCTTCCAGTCTCCAGGGCTGATTTGCCTGGTTCTGGAGACTTGAACTCATTTGTAACATTTGTTCTTACTATCATCTAGCTTGGACTGTAGTTCCCTGGACAATGTTCTCTTATCATTGGGCCATTTGTCCTAAGCCTTAAGCTATCGAGTCCCTCATTGTTTATCTTTTTCATCGAAGGAGACACAAAACCTAAAAATAGACATAGATCAAAAAGCACAGTAGTCTAAAACAAGTGATTGTAGAGGCAAATAGTTCGACACCTTCTAATAAGCTCTAATATGCTCTAAGTAAAGCACCCTAACATATGTATGCTCCTCAACTCAAGAAGTTAAAATATTGGACGTTTCTTGTTTAAGTACAGCAAAGGTTAGGTTTTAGAAATATTCCAGGTACACCGCTTTAAATAAGTTGTATCATTTTAAGGGGAAATTTTTGCTATTTGGGCAGTTTTTCCCAGTGGTAGCTCCTGAGTCAGCCTCTCTGAAATGTGTCAGGAAATAGGGCTGACAGGCACTCTGCTCGACACCTTCGCAGACCATTCTTATTTTTCCCATTTCTACATGGCCTAGAAAATAAAAAACAAAATGTGTTTCTCCTCAGAGAAGAGATGGAGGACCCCCTTAGAGTTAAAGAAGAAGTGATAAATGGGAAAAAATGGAGTATATTGCAACATACGTATATATACTCATAAACATTTTCTGTCATCTATCATAAATTCACTTCTAATCTTTTTAAATTCTCTTTCAACTGCTAGAAT